GCCTGTTTTTCAGAGTCCATCGTCTCTCATGGTTCGTCCACCCCTCCGATTTCCCCCGCTTCATTCCTCCCCTCCCGCTACCTTCTTCTTCTTCTTCTTTTTTTTTTTCTTAACATATATTGCATTATTTGTTTCAGAGGTACAGATCTGAGATTCAACAGTCTTAAAAGCTATTTTAAAAGGATCCATGTATATTTTTAAACTTTATGGAGAAGGATGCATTAAGAGTCTTTCTAAGATTGAAACCACACAATTCTCATTAGCACTGCAATGTTACACATCTGCATTTTGATAAGGGTACTCATTTCAACTAAGGGTAATTCCTTAGTGGGGATGGACAGGGCTGTGATCATGAGCATTGATGTTATGGCCTCTGGGTTTGTTCCCTGGGTTGAGTCCATAGGGTGCTGACATTTTACCTCTTATCTGTTTGAAAGCCTCAAAGAAGGCTGCTCAGGGACACAGTGATTCCATATTCTTCAGGGACACATGCCACCAAGTTATATGAGAGAAGAGTCTGGCTGATGGAACCAAGTAATTACATGGAAATTTATTCTTTACTAGCCCAAATGGGGTATTGTTTTTACTGTTTTTCAATTCTGAGGGGGAGGGGAATAGAGCACAACAAAATAAACCCAAAAGGAAACTGTATGTGAAAGCCTTCATATTACAGTCTGGAAGTGATCAATTTAAAGATGCAGAAGTCAGCAGGTTTGGTATTCAGGATTTTCATGGTCACATTTAACTTGTCTTCATGGTATACAAGTATATTCTAGGTTATTGTCCTCATATGGAAGCACTGCTAAACATGTATTCTTTTTGGTTAGTTTGGCCGTGAGCCTTGAATATTGGAACAGGCTAATGTTGAATATGAATTTCAATGAGGACCTCCTCACTTGGGTCCATGGGTAAAACAGGATACAGGGAGGTGGGGTGGACAGGGAATTGGTCCTGGAATACCAGAGAGTTTTCAGCCACTTAGGGCATTACATTTTAACTCACCTCTCAGAAGTGGATTAAGACCTCTGAGGACAGTGGGAAAGACACCAACCTGCCTATTTGTGTTCAATTCCACTTGCTTGGTCTGAGAAGAGATAGAGACATGGGGCATTGAATTTCCATTCTGGGCAAGAGTGAGAGGAGAGGGAAAGATAGTCCAGAGAGGAAACAGAGTTGGCTTAGCTTTTGGGAAGATGGGCTTAATGGGCCCATAAGTGGTCAAGGCCTTGGCCAGCGCTCTATCATTCACAGCCATGGAGGCTCCTCCAGCCTGTTACATCCAGGCATCTAGCTGTGACATATGCTCACCAGTGTGTGGGGAGGCCAAGATGCTCAGCTCCATGGACAGAAGCCAACACCTGAGAGCCTCTCCATCAGAACCCTAATGCCCTAGGATTCCTTTCTCCTTCCTTCCCTCCTTCTCCACTTATAGAAGGGAAGAGAAGAGGAAACAATATTTACAATGTATTTAACATTGACAAATATTTAATGCCTATGTGCACTTTGTATTATATGTTATTTCATCTGTTTCTCAAAATATCCCTACGAAGGTAGACACTCAAAATTCTACTTACATAGAGAGGCTCACTTGCAAGATCCTATACTCAGTAAGAGAGCCGGGGAATCCAAAACTCTACAGTCCTTGCTCATCTATCTAAGGTTTAAATCAAGACCCTGAGAGCATTCAGAACTTGGCAATACAGAAGGGATGAGGTGAGAATGTTATGCAAAAAAGGGAGGTAGGCTTTTCCTTTGAGAGGCAGCTCAGACCCCTCTGTAGCACTGTGGCCAGGCCTCCCACTCTGCCCTAGCTCTTCTGTGATGTGAGGCCTCAAGGCAGCCCAGTGTTGAAAAGCACAGGGAGGGCAGCCTGCCTCCTTAGGCTTATTTAGCACTTGGCTGGTACTCCCATTCTTGTTTAACAGCCGCCAAGCTGAGAGATCATAAGAGAGTAACGACTTCTCAGTATCTTGGTTTGCTTCTCTGCAAAATGCGTACCATAGTCTTCTCTTTCTATGTGGACCTTGAAAAATAGCTATTATTTGAATCAAGTGCTTAAAGTGCATAAGAGCATTTCTTCAAACGCTAGTTCATGTGGGGGCTCCCACCCCCTGAAACGCAGCAGGCCACCAAGTCTCATTTCCAGTGAGTGTCATTTAAAAGCCAAAGCAAGCTGACTACACACTTTTTAACATGGGACCTCTCTCATCTGCTCAACAGAAATCCCTGTAACTTGTTAATAGTTCCCTTCTTATTTTTTTGTAGTGAAACCAATTGCGGCCTTAAATCAGTACCATTCGTTCCATCTTGGGCCATCTGAGAAAACCATTTAGAGTTGTAAAAAGTCATCTGCTCCATCATGCACTTCCTGCTGCAAGGCTGGGGCCAGGGCTGAGGGAGCCTCCCTAGAACAGGACAGTGCAGTGTGCTGAACGGGGGGGGGGTCTCTTTGGGGACCACATAAACACCAGATCTGGGGGGGGGAGGAGCAAGGGCGGACTTTCAAAGAGAGGAGATCAGATACATCTCCCATAAAACACAGATCTCTTTACAGCTGGAGTCGGGTTTCTCCATTTGTGCCATAGCACTTATTTCCCCGAAGCTCATAGCGTTGAGGGTGCAAGAGGAGGGAAATGTGTAGAGTGCCAGTTGCAGAGCATGAATCTCTGAATTTCCTGGAAGGCTCTGCAGTCTAGGCCACTCGGGAGTCCAGAAACAAGTAGTGGGAGATATTCTTCCTCATCCTTCTCAGCCGTGCCCTTCCAGACTCCTTCTTTATATTAAAATGGCTCCTTGAAAAGTCCTTGCTATTGGCCATTCACACTTTAGCATAAATTTAATCCTCAGACGCCAATAGAATTCTGAGAAGGACAGAAACAGAAGCCTGTCATTCGAGACCCTCTTTCACAGAGGAGGAGAATGAAGAGGTAGCCCACATTACCTGTGATCATGAGCTGGATGGAGGCCAGTGGACCTAGAATTAGTCTAGGTGCTCTTCCTACCACGGTCAGCTGCTGGCTTACTTCTCTCGGTGGTATATATGATATTGGCCTTATCTCAACTTGTGGGATAGAAATCTTTTTACCTCTCTTAAAGGAATTTAAGGCATGAAGAAGAAACAGGAAGGAGAATTTCCTGAAATGACTCTAAAATCAGCAACTGTTTATTGTTCTATTTTGGAAGTTCATTGGGGAAATTCTTTTGACCAAGCAAGAGATGATATTAGCTGGGTTTTATAAAAACTCAACTCCGAAGAAACTATTAACGAGCTAAATTTGAAATTCCACAGTCAGTACCACTACCATATTTGTGGATGTAGGCTGAGGCAAAAAATGAACTTTGGGTTTCTCTTTGAGTTATCTGCCTCTCAATTTGCACATTTGGACCCTCCTCCCTGGCACCCTGTGGGTGGTTTTTCTGTATCCCAATATCTCTGGAAGCCTGCCAGTTTTCTTCACATTTCTCTCACTGATAAAAACCTTATTCCTGCTCCTTTCCACTTAAAATGTCCTTATCCTTTTATGGCAGCTCAGGTTCTAAGAATCCTTACAAGAGTTGTGGATGACCTAAGGGTACCATGCTCCTTGGGGGAATCAGGGCTCTCATCAACAACGCTGGGAAGCTCCCAACCTTGCCCCAAAGGAGGAATTCCATCATGGGAGAGTCCCTGTGGAAGACAGAGCAGCCTCCCATTCTGGAATTCAAATGAAAGGCCCGGCAGCCCAAGCACTCACCACTGCCTTTAACTGCCAGTGGGCGAGGCAAAAAGTGGGTCCTGCCCAGCTCCTTTGTAGCCCTGGGAAAGGAGAGGCTTGGAAGGGTCATTTTTGTCTTCTGAAACTATCTGAGAACACATGTGAAGTAGGTTGAGTTGAACTGGCCCTTCATCTGTTGGTGCATCAGCCCCCAATCCAGTTCTAATATCCGCACGTCAGAGAAGCAACTCTGTCAATACGGTTTCAGGAACTTGAGGAGATGAAAGGCACCTGGAGGTCCTCTCACCCCAAGTGTGGTCTCCAGACCATCAAGCAGCATCAGTCTCAGAAATGCAAACTCTCGGGCCCTGCCCCAGATGTGTAGAATCAGAAATTCTGGGGGTAGAGTCAGCAATCTGTTTTAACAAGCTCTCCAGGTGATCCTCATGTACCCTAAAGTTTAAGAAGTGATTCTTCTTAAACTGCTGGGTGCTTTGAAATAAGGAATTTGGGTGGTATCACTGGTTTTCAACCCTGGCTGCACATTAGAATCCTTTGATTCTCATTTGGTTGGTCTGAGGTGGGATCCTGGAACTTAAAAGCTTGTAGCTTCTCCTAGCTTGAGAGCTACTGATCCAATTCAATTTCTCATCTTCTGGATAAAGAAACAAACCCAGAAAAGATAAGTGATGTGCCCAGGACCACATGGGGGGTTTGTGTGGCAGAGCTGTGAGAACCGAGATCTCCTGCCTTTGTGACCTGTCTGGACTCTTGCCCTCACAAGTATCCCAAATCTGCAGACTACATTTACAGTCTTTGTTCCAATCTCTGAGACAGAGAACAGGCTTTTCTAGAGGGAGATTAGCAGAGCCTCTGAATTATAATGATTTAGTTACAGGTTAGCTTTGCTTTATGCTAACCTAGCTCGTCTGGTTGTGCTCATAATATCTTTCATATGACAGAACTTCAGTCCCATAACTGACCCCCTACTACCTGGGCCCCCCTGCTCAGCCTTCCCAGGCCTTAACCTTGATTTGGCACCTTGCCCCAGTACCCCATTTCCTCTGCAGGTGAGGGCCTGAGATTTGGTATGCTGTGTTTTTAGCTGGAGGACTAAATATGGCAAGGTCAGCCATAGTCCCAGGTGACAGCACGTAGCTGATGCATTTCCACGGACAATGGGGGGAAGTTGAGCTGGTGGATTTTAAATCTGATTATCAGAGGTCTTACTGGAAAGTGAATTTGATGGTGAGAAATGGCAAAGTGAATACTGTAGGGCTTGTTTTTTCTTTTTAAACAAGACTTCGAAGACACACACAGAAACAAGAGTTTAGTGTTCTTTTGTGTCACCTCTTTGTCTTCTCTTTTGGAGTATGTGTGTGTGTGTGTGCGCGCGCGCACGCACACAGGTAGAATCACTTAACATGAGTCTGCTGAGTTAAGAGAAGGCGATGGTTCTGTAAAACTCAGCCCATCTTGGACATTTGAGGGCACCTCCTGCCTGGCTTGCATCTGGCCTGCACAGACTTCTCTTAAAAGGTCTCTGGCTCAATGGTATTCGCCTTTTATTTTTCAGGGGGCAGCACAGGCACTTCCCCGACCACCTCCAGCACTGGGACACCATCCCCTTCAGCTTCTTCTCACCTTTTATCTCCATCCTGTTCTCCTCCAACATTTCATCTGGCGCCCAACACTTTCAATGTGGGCTGTCGAGAGAGCCAGCTGTGTAATCTAAACCTCTCCGATTATCCACCCTGTGCCCGAAGCAACATGGCGGCCTTGCAGAGCTACCCAGGGCTGAGTGACAGTGGCTACAACAGGCTCCAGAGTGGCACTGCTTCAGCCACTCAGCCCTCGGAAACCTTCATGCCTCAGAGGACTCCATCCCTGATCTCAGGAATACCGACTCCTCCCTCGTTGCCTAGCAACAGCAAGATGGAAGCCTACGGTGGCCAGCTGGGGTCCTTCCCCACTTCCCAGTTCCAGTATGTCATGCAGGCAGGCAATGCGGCCTCCAGCTCCTCATCACCACATATGTTTGGGGGCAGCCATATGCAGCAGAGCTCCTACAACGCCTTCTCTCTCCACAACCCTTACAATCTCTATGGATACAATTTCCCCACTTCTCCTCGGCTAGCTGCAAGCCCAGAAAAACTGAGCGCCTCTCAAAGCACTTTACTCTGTTCTTCTCCTTCCAATGGGGCCTTTGGAGAGAGGCAGTACCTGCCCACGGGGATGGAGCACAGCATGCACATGATTAGCCCTTCGCCCAATAACCAGCAGGCGACTAACACCTGTGACGGTCGGCAGTATGGGGCGGTCCCAGGCTCCTCCTCCCAGATGTCCGTGCACATGGTTTAATGGCCGGTCCAAACACCACGGAGCCTACTGCCCTACACCCACAGGGCCCCAGCGCCTCCATGGGCAGATCCTCCTTTTTGGAAGCCCAAGCCTTTGAGAAATGGGAACTGTGTATTTTTTTTTTTTTTTTTCTGGAGGAGGAAAGCACATACCCAAGAACAACAAAAGACATTTAAGCCACTGAAGGATACTTGTGGTAGAATCATCTCCGACTCAGTGGCCATTCTCCTGCCTTCCCAAACCTTAGTTTTATAAAGCATTGTCTACTCCAGAGTGGCCTTTGAAGAAACTGAATAATCATTTTATAATAATGTTAAGGGAGATGCTAGCATGTAGCAGCCATGAAAAGTTACCCCCCACACGAATACAGACCTACTTATACATGCATACCTACATACATACATACGTGCATGCATGCATACACACATATGTATTCACACACAAACTCTTACACACACTGACATACATGCACACTGACTTGGAAGTGGGTGAACTCTGTGGAGGGGGGCCCCGGTGGGGGCTTTCACCAAGAATGGGTCTACGTACAACACTAGATTGGACTGGGCCAGCAGTGGCGGTCAACATTTCTCCCCTGCAGCCTACCCTGTTTCTGGAATGAACCGTGTATCCTGGAGCCCCTTCTGGTCCATGAAGGTAGACAAACATCAGCACTACAACCGGACTTGGCTTCCTGAGAACGATTGCTTTTGAACTTTGGCTCTCCTCACTCGGTGTGCTATCGCTGATGTTCCCGGGCGTGCCTGTGAAAAGGGAGTAAGAGCAGCCGAAGGAGAAAGGAAGAGAAGCAGTAATGAGCAAGAGAGAGGCGGAGAGCGAGACTGAGAAAGGAAGTGTGAGCAATGGTGAGAGTTGTAATGCACCGAGGAAATTGGTTTGTTTTGGTTCTCCACCCCCACCCCCCTACAGGTTCTAGAAAGAATCGTGGCATCACCGAGGAGGAAACCTCTCTGGGACACTGTGCAGAGTCAGGGCACTGGTGACAGGGACCCGGGCAAGGGATGCACTTTGATCCCGCAACTCTGACCACCGTGCTCCAGAAGAGGGGTGCCCTGTGTACGCAGTGCCAATTCCAGAGCATGCAGCCTGGCAGGGGAGGGGGACCGGAAGGAGTGTGAAGAAGGAAGGGTGTTATAATCCCGACAGATGATACCAAGAGCAGAGGCGACAAATAGAGGCTTGGCCTTCCACATGCCAGACCCAGACACCTGACCTGGATCACCTGCCCCTTAGCCCCTGTGGCATGAGAAATCCGGGCACGTCCCAGGGAATTGCAGATGGGCCTTCTCCATCCTTCCACCTGCCCTTAGATCTCCATTTTTATCAAATAGTTTATTGCATTTTGAAGTTTTGGGTTTTTTCCTTCATCTCTCCTTTCCCCTTCAAGTCCTTTAATGTTAAGAAAACAAGTGAAGTTTGGTGCAAGCTAAACTTTTTAAGTGGTGTGGAAATGCAAATAATACCAAGTAAAATAATACAGATATTATTAAGATTTTTGGTTTTGAGGTGTTGTAGATAATGTATTTATGTGCCTAGTGGGGAATCCAATATTATGAATATTAAAAAAGGGGGCAATAAAAAGGGTATGTAAAATATGTATGAAGTAAAGGTGTATAAAAAATTTGCCCTTATGCACGGAACTCTGTTTCTAAGTGCCAAGCACAGAAAGCCGCTAAATAAAATCTTTGCAATTGTATTACAGCGTGTTTGTACGGAAAAAGTAAATAGCAGTGTATGCATTTGCATTGTGCTCTACAATGAGCACAGCGCTCTGATCTATGCTGCTTGGCATGATCTTTATGTAGACCTCGTGAAGGAGATTTCTCCATCCTCATTTTGATTAGTAACTGAGCTCCAGAGAGGTTGAGTGGATTCTCTGGGATCGAAGAGCTGGTCAGAGAGGGAACGAGGACTTGAAATCAGGTCTGACTCTAGTGGGATGTTCGCTTTCATGCTAGCTGCAGAATCCAGCGAGTCCAACAGCGATCCCCATCCCGGCCCCGCGCCTTATACCATTCTTTATATGCGTATCTCATCTCAGCCCCCCACGATTCTGTGAGATGGGTGTTATTTTGATCGTTTCAGAGATCTGGAAACAAGCTTTAAAAAGAAGTAAGTACGTGATGCAGGCCCTCAGGTAGCAAGGGATTGAGCTGGCCATTTGAGCTCCGGGTCTGTGCAGTTACATCGGCTTCCGTTGCCGGAGCCCCCACAGTCCCCGCAGTCCCATGAGGCACTCGGACAATCAGGAAGAAGTTATATCCTAAGGGATTGAGGTGAGCACACCTCTGAGGCTGTTTGATCAGACATTTATACCCTCCCCTTTAAATGCGCCTCCACAGCCCCGGAGGAGTGATTTTGAATTGCCGTGTACCAAATGACGACTTAGACGAATAAAGTGCCTCAGGCTGTTCCACTTAGAAGCACTTTCTCATATTCTCTCTTGTTTCCTCCCATATTTGCTCATTTGAGCCTCACAGTAACCACTGAGGGATGGACAGGGTAGGAAGTATTGGTTTGCAAATGGGAGACGAGGATTCTAAAGGCTGTGACTTGCCTGTACTTCAGAGTGGCTGGGAAGGAGCAGAGCCAGAACTTGAAATCTCCCACTCGACCTCTATCCTGGACTGTTTCCCGGTAGGCAGTGACACTGGGAGCCCGCTGACTCACTTCACGTGGGCTTGATTTGGGGGGTCAGGTTGTCCACTACCACACTCATTCACCGGAAATGGAGCTTGGTTTGGAGGAGCAAAGACTTTAATCATTGCATTGATTTTATAGATAACTTCAAAGACTGAAATGCTGCTAATTCCATCAGCTATCACATGGTTGCTGAAATAGCTGGGACGACAGCTGATGAGAATCTCCGTGGACTGTAGGTGTGACATGTCTCAAGACTTAAAAAGGCACTATTTATGTGGAAATCTTGCAGTCAACCTTTGGCTTCATAACGGCAGACTGAAAACAACTACATATAAAGCTTAGAGTTATTTCTTTCTGATTCAGCCGCATACCAAATATTATGCACTGGCCTGATAGTGTTTGAGGTTTTAGGTAACAGATAATCATCATATGCCAGGGAGCAAACTTTACATAGAAATTTCCATATTTTCACTTAACAGGATAAGAATTTCAATAATCATTCATGAGTGGTAAGTACAGAAAATTTCTGTTATTTGGATTAATTAGAGCAGTCCAAGTCAATTACATCTCAATTATGGCATGTGTCTTTATCTATAAATGAGAAAGGAATAAAAATATTTATTTTAACAAACTGGATAAAAAATTTTCAAGAATACGCTCTACCTAATTCTCTTTAATGGAATGGTGAAAATTCTTCATAATTGGCACACTGACTACATACAAAGAGCTATAAGAAAGCTATTCTGCCCTTACTCATGTTCTTGGAGGAAAGTCTGTCTTATTCCTCTTTGCATCCTTGGAAAGTTTGTGGCTTAGTACAGAATCTCAATACATAGTCATTCTTACTGCTGAATTTGTCGACCAAGCCCATTTTCCAAGGATAGTGCAAAATGGTTGCATGGCTGAATTATCATTCACTCCAAATTCATGGGCCCAAATGAACAAAGATTATCCTTCATATGGTGTTCCGTGGCAGATTCATGTAAATTTAATTTACATACTAGCTTGCCAGGATCCCCTAATACATAATGGAGGGTTAAAAAAAAAATGCGTGTGATAGTTTCTCTCTTGAAAGGTTTACTTTTCAGGCAGTCATGCGCCTGTGGGGCAAACGACATAAAAGACTGAAAATTCAGAGGAGATGCTCAGTGTAAGAAGGTGAGGTTGGAACTGTTTTCACTGGGGGGTAGAACTTGATTTAGTTTGAATGATGCTCAGAATTTTTATAGAAGGAATGGTGGGTTAAGAATGAAATAACAACTTAAAAGTCAATCAGTAAATAAGTTTTGGAGGAAAATGATAGCATCTCAATTCACGCGTAGTCATTTAATAAAACAAGAGTTCGGAACCTTCTTGTAGCCTATAGACTAATATCCTTTTCTATGAAATAGTTTATCATTAGTGAGTGTACAGAGGGTAGAGATGGAAGGGCAGAGCTTCTTGGCTGATGCCAAATGTTTGATTCATTGCTCAGTACTTGGAGGATTTCAGAGAAGCTCTGCTGTATTAATTTGCATGCAATAAACTGAAGGAGAGTTGTCCTCCTAAGGAAACCCAGCCACAAAGATAAATTTTCACAAAGCGATGGTGTTTATGGTTGTCGGTCAGAGATCTGATTTCCAGAGAGGGCCATACCTGTGACCGGCTTCATTCATTCATCTCGTTCAATATCAATAAATGTGTATCTCATGCCTACTCTGGGTCAAGCACTGCCCTTGGCATGAGGACATAGAGGTGAACAATTAGACACGTTCCTGTCTCTGAGGAGTTCATGGTCTGGTGAGAGACTGCTACAGGATACCCTAGCAAACAAATGAATAATGTAACTTCAGATTGCAAGAATCATCTCGAGGGAATTGCGAGTAATAGAATGATAGAGAGTGATTGGAGAATGAGAATGAGAACTCATTTCAGTAGGGTTTTCTAAGAGGGCTGCTCTGAGGAGATGACACTTGAGCAAGGACACATGCGGACATCATCTCAGAATTTGCTTACTCCAACTTACACCGAGGGCAGCCATATCCTCACCGGAGGATGTGCTCTGTTGGTCTTGCATCAGCTGAGGCCAGGTATTTTTGTTCTTCCAAGGGCTTTGTAGCATTGATCCTTATTTGCTGAAACCTGGCTGCTGGCCTTCTGGGACTGGGGCCATTTAGAGACTCCTCAAATCTGAATCTGTCTTCTCTCTGGCCCCAATAAAGTCCTATTTTCATGACTTCCTTGGTCGAGGATGAGAGTCATCCATCCCTTCTATCTGACTTTGTTAAAAGGTTAACACTAAGGATCAAACAATTAATTAATAGCAATCAGATAAATTATGAACAACAATTAATTAAAAAAGTACTAAATATGTCTTGGTATTCTATAATTTTCTCAGAACTGTTCTATGTAATATGGAGATGTAGAAAATTTCCTACCATCAAGAAGATGTCAGCTTAAGGGCGCCTGGGTGACTCGGTTAAGTGTCTGCCTTCAGCTTGGGCCATGATCCCAGAGTCCTGGGATAGAGTCCTGCATTGGGCTCCCTGCTCAGCGGGGAGTCTGCTTCTCCCTCTCCCTCTGCCTGCCACTCTCCCTGCTTGTGCTCTCCCTCTCTGTCAAATAAATAAATAAATAAAATCTTTAAAAAAAAGAAGATTTCAGCTTGGTTGAGAAGTCAAGATATGTGCATATGAAACAGTGAACAGTAAAAAGTATTACATTTGTGGTAATGAGCATATATTCTGTAAAATGTTAGAAGGAAACATTTTTATTGAGTTTTTATTATATGTTACACATTATGCAAGTTCATCCTTTAATCCTTGCAACTACCCTACAGAATTTGTATTTTAATCCCTATTTTATAGATGGGGAAATAGAAACTCATAGAGATGAGCAATGTGCACAAAATCACAGAGCTTCTAAGTAACAAAGACAGGGCTCCAGCCCAGGTCTTTCCACGATTATGTTTTTCTAAAAATGAGATTCAAAAGGACTATAATAAAGAGAGAAGTGTTCATGGAGGAGGTCGAATTTGAATTGTTTGAAGAACTCCTGGAAACCACATAAAATGAAGAGAGAGGTATCTGGGTGTGAGTGTGGGAAGCAGCACAGTAAAGACAAATATTTTCTATATGGGGCAATGAGTTATGGCAGTGGGCAGTGGGGGGAGTATGTTCACTTTCTTAAGTCAAATCTCAAATCTCTTAAGTCAAATGTTCTCCCTCCTGCTCCTGGTACCATGACTCTGGATTTCATTTTCATACGTGAGATGTCCTAGCTCTGTAACTTGGGCAATTCAGGGTTTCCTCCAGTGTCTCAGTGGGAGCCTTCATCCAGGCAAGGGCCAGTGGGGGCTGGGAGGTGATGGAGGAGTTGACTCCATCCCCCCAAACCCACCGGGGCCCCTAGGCACGGGCTCACTGCCACAGTCCCTGAGTCAGGCTCTGCACAGAGCCCCTTGCTTCTCCAGCTCAGGCATGCAGTGCCACGTGGGACTGTGAAAGGGGATCTTGCTGTTTAAGGCCGAGAAAACATTCATCATGTTTTCCTTCTTAGCTCATTTTACTGCTCATAGCACTCATCTTTTATGGGCCAGCCTAACGGCATTTCCCACTTCAGATGCTTCCTACTCACACTTTCAGCTTTTATGAGACTTTACTGTGGGCCCTGCAGAGGCACAGAAAACCAGAGGTTTTGAATCCTTTTTGGCATTTTCACCCAGGGAAGCTGAAGCGGACAAAGGGAACTGCCGAGGACGGCCAGGTCAACCCTCCAGCAGTTCTCATTCTAGAAGTTTCTGGACTCCACGAGGAGGATTTGTGGAGTTTCCCCTTCCTGCCACACTGCACATCCTTCCTCCACCCATGGGCAGGGAAAGCCCCTCCTAAGTTGTCTCTGGATAATGTAAGAGAGAAACCTTCAAATAGTAACATGTTACTGTTAATTTCTCACTCATCTTGCAATCCGACCTAGGCTTCCTGGTTAGGTGGCTGTCCTCCAAGCAGTGATCCCAGGAACCAGGCTCCTTTTAGGTTCTGCTATCTTCAACACATAATGTTTGGTACCTCTCCGTTCAG